TCATTCGATGTCAGTTTGGCTATAACTTTGTCTTTCTCCGAAATGTGATTTTGATTGTCATTTACACAATAAACATTTTCTCTCATCTAATACATGCTGTGTGTATAGTTAACTAACCAATAATGATGTGTTTCTCCTTGAGATATTGTTCCTCCTTCTCTTCCAATAGTTCAGTCAAATCAGTAACTTTGACTTTAAGTTTCTCATAATCCTCTACATTAATAGAATATTCTCTCATTTAATATTATGTACTGATGATACACTAACCAGTAATAATCTGTTTCTTCTCCTCTACTTGTGTCTTCTCTTCCAATATTTCAGCAACTTTAACTTTGAGCTTCTCATTATATTCTATTATCAATAAAAATACAAAAGATAGAAAATTAAATGATATTTGTTGTTTAAACCAATTTGCACTGCATGTACAGTAGCCCATAAATACATGTACTATGATTATTGCTAATGATGCCATATATGGTAAGCAGAACTCACTCTACATCAATCTCATTATTTCTAATGCATGGACAGTTTGACCTATATTGAGTACAGGATACTATTTCCATACTCAACATTCTCTAATCCACTAGTATTATAATGTGAACAATGTACACATAAACAACAGTACAACACAATAGTACCTAATTCAAGACTTGATTTATCCTTTTCTGCTTGCTCAAGGAGAGTGGTAGCATCATCAAGTTGCTGACTAAGTGTTGCCTTTTCTTGAAGAAGCTGTTGCTGCTCTTTCTCTCGATCTTGCTGTATCTGCTCCTTCTCTTTTATTTCTCTTTGAAGCTGCTCCTCATAGAATTTTCTCTCTTTTTGTAATTGCAGACAATCTTGAAATATTTGAAGCTGCTTTTCAGTTCCTAAATTCTCCCAATCACTCAGTATCCTTCTTCTTAGTTGATCTTGATACTGGTCCAGAGGTATTACACTAGTAGACCAATCATTATCACTAGTATATCCTATACAGTAACAAAATAGTGGAGAATAAGAAATACACAAATTAATTACACTTAGTTACTATGGTAACCTTATTATTGATGGATTCATGTTTAATCATTGTATGTGTGACCTCTGTCAGTTTACACAGTTAACCACATGAACATATTATTGTATATAAATACACTCATAATAATTATTATTTCATTCACACTAGCTCCTATTAATATCAGTGTTTCTGTATCTGCAGTCATTATATTTCACTATTGTACATAGCAGGAATGAATTGGTAATAATTAGTATCATAGGTATACGTCAAATGCTCTCATTAAATATTCATCATAAGAATTACTTACTTTATTGTAATATTATCATTACTAATTATCATTACATATTCAATACACATTGTATCTACTACTGTCTACATGTACTTACTGAGTTCAATAACTGCTGTACCAGTGTATGCTGTTGCTCCTCCAAACTCAATTATCCAGTTAGTAGTTGGAATCACACTCCACACTGAGAGAGAATACCAGTATCTGTTAGTGACATTGGCTGGTAGATTAATCTATAAAATTAAATGATAATAATTGATATCTGGTTAATAAACACAATAACTATCTCACAGTTTTATAGTCTGCACAGTATGTTTCATGTAACACAAAGATGACATAATAAAATTAATAATACACAATATATTAATAGACAAGTATACACAACTGAGTGTGTTATTATATCATGTGAGTCCTCAATTAAGAACTTACTAAGTGTCTGCATGTACACACATACACATACACATACTAATGACACACTAACACACATACATGTACATCTATACATGCATACACATATAAAGCTACATGTAAAGCATGCATAATTGCTCACACACATACACACACATGTACATGTTACATGTACACATGATGCACGTGTTAGTACACACATACACATATTAAAACATATGCACACATACACACAAATACATTTTTGTACATACACAATGTACACAATGTATATAAAATAGAAGTTATTTTAATTCCAGCATTGACACTCTATCAATTGTCAATCCATCTTTACACACAGACAGACAGACACATGTATATTCACACATATTTAGGTAAAGAAACAAACACAAAACACAAAAACACACAAACACACATTCACACTAAAAACAGACACACACACACATACTGAATACCAGCATTATTCATCAGTAGTTTTCACTGAGTATCATAATATGTACATGTACATTACAAACCTCATGAGTTACAAATTTAGTTAATCACTTCATGTTTCATTATTAAGCATCATAATATAATACTTACCAGTTCTTTCCATTTTCTTTTGTTAATGTCCAGTAACCATACATCATAGACAGGTGATCCACCCACCACTAGTAAGTGTGGTCCTGAACTAGTGGTAATCAGTACACTGGAATGAGCATATCTTCCCTCAGGCCATTGTACTGAACCTCCAGGATTAGGTACTTCTAATATATCCTGAGAGAATAATAATATCAATGTGAGAAAATAATTAATAAATATTAATTACTGTAGACTGGGTTAAAATGGAAATCCACAATTTGCAATACCTTACAATCAAAACCCATCCTACAGTATTAACTCACCACTGATGTCTTAGTGAAACTTATCATATACAGTTTATTACTCCTTCCATTATCAGTAGAGCCTCTGAACATTACCGCAGTGTTATTAGTAACTGGTGTTAGAGTGAAGGAACTAATAGGAGATGGTCTGTCTCCAGTAACAACAGGAGATATCCATTGATTTAATAATAATGTACAAACTTTCATGTACACTTACGTACCACATACACACACATACATTATACACATTCATCATACATATGTATGTGTATATGTGTGTACATTATTATTTATACATACACATCATGCATAGACACACATCACTATCACATGATACACACACACACACACACACACACACACACACACACACACACACACACACACACACACACACACACACACACACACACACACACACACAGATACACTCATGTATGGATACATACACCATCACACACACCACCACACCTGTACACATGAAGGAGAGGTCCAGGGGATGTCCTTATTTGAAGATTACTAATCTATTCTGGTACATGTCAGTTATGATTATTAATGAATAATTATACAAAACTCATGGAACATTTTATGTGGGTAATTTGCGACTCATGTGATACAGAACTTTTTTAAAAATGATAATAAATAACATGAACCTACACACACACACACACACGCATGTCACATTAGCTTATGTATAGATACATGTACATATACAAACATCACACACACACAGATACATGATAATACTCACACACACATAAAATGCACATTATAGATACACGTCACATACACACGTCATACATTCATAAATTCTCACATACATTATATGCACTATCATACACAGACACATCATAATGTATGTATTAGTACACACACACACGTCACATATAGACACACGTCACCATCATGCACACACAAACACATGACACACTAACAAACACACTTAATTATTAACAATCTGTTTTATGTACATTAATATAAATTATTCAGTTTGAAATACTCATCAACTATTGTGTATCAATGATGAGAATTACTGACCTGATGAAATCCTGTAACAATGTATCTCATTACATCTACCATGAGCTGAATACTGAGCATCAGGTTGCTTTGGAGTATTCATAGAAGATGTTCCCACTCCTCCAATTATTACGAGATAGTGTTCACTGTCAAAATGAACTGATATTATTCCACAGTAGCCCTTCTTCATTGGATCACGATCAGAACTAGAAGGAGAGAGTTCCCTCCAGTTGAATGAATCCACATTGAAACAATGTAAGCTGTTTCGATAACCACCACTTCCACCGAAATAATATATATCCTTCCCAATTGAAACGGTTGAATAGGCATAGGTATGGTGGTGGGGTACCAGTAGTACGTTTCTGGTTCCAAGCACCAGTTCGTAAGTGATACACCTCCATCAAATCATAGTCTACTCCAGACCCCTCCCCACCCCACATATATAGACCCCTTTAGGCGAGAATTAGTTTGTGATACCGTATATACAAAGAAATAATATTGAACGAATTTTTGTCCGCCATGTTTTACGTCAAAGTAATGCAGAGTTCCAATGGCTGATGTGCAAAGTAGAGCTGTTTTGCCAATAAAACTTTTGTTGTGCTGAACTCAGGACTATGAGAGGCTTCATATCAACTTTTCTTTACTATAGCAAGATATTTTGAAGACTTAAGAAGTCTGGGAGAGCCAGAACGATCAGTTCTTGACTCTCTGTCACAGCCCAAAGAGCAAAGCAGGCTCATACAGCAAGAGTATTGCACTATACTTCCTAGGTTGGCTCTCTTGGCATCTTTCTTGACTCTAGAATAGTTTTTAGCTTCAAAATGTAGTGACCAAGATCTCCAGGACACAGAAAGCACTTGCTGCTTGACGTAAAACATGGCGGCCAATTATTGTATGTGGGCGTATACCGTAACTGAGATATAATGATATTCATTGCAAAATTAATGATATTCACAAGCTGCTACTTCTCGCCGAAAGGGGTCTATAGGTAGTCTCCTACCTTTACTGCGGAGTGTCCCCATCTCTCCACTGGTTGATAGTCTATAGAGAACAAGAGGTACCAGTAACAGAGTAACAGTAATATAGTGATGAGTTAGAATAAGGACAGGATACAGAGGAGTAAAGTAAGTGAGAGAGTAAGAGAGACAAAGAATGAATGAAAGAGATACAAAGAGAAGAGAATAGTGGCCCTCACTTTTAGATGCCATTCTTGCAAAATAGCAGCCCCACCCAAACCATAGATAATAGAGTAAATGAAAGCAAGAGTGGATAATTATTTAGGGAGAGTGTCTAACCTGCCTATATTCTGTGATACCACAGCGCGTATGTTTACATCCGTTTTTTGCAAGTATACAGAGTTAATCTCAGTAATCTTTAAATTTATGGGTGTGGCTGATAAAATGGCGCTTGAACATAGATAATAGAGTACAGAGGGATTGGAAACGGGGCATCTCCGTATACATCGCTAGGATACGGATGCTAGTTGACATTTGCATCTAGCAACGCCTAGCAACGGAGGCTGTCTTTGAGCAAGAGTTGTCTTATTGAGACCTGTCATTCCAGCAGTGGTGTCACTATACATCATTATTTATATCAAAGGAAGCAGAAGAGACTAGCATCTATCCCCAGACTAATTTTTATGTTGCTAGTATCATCATTTGCAGTGAATATTTGCTCTGGAATGAGAATGCTTAGAATGACATTTTGTTTTGTACCCTTATCTCAGTAGTGTTAGACAGAAGACAATAACTTACTCAACCACTCAATAGAGATTCATAATGTGGAGGTCGCCCACTATGTTTCGTTTGGAAATACGGTTGCATCTTTCTGTAACAATAGATTTACTGATTAGTTTGAGAGGTTTGTTTTGTACCCTTAACATAAAAACCAAAGGGTCTGTGACATTAGCTATCACATCATCGTATTGCTTAGAACACACCGGAGGTCGCCAACACCATTTCTATTCAATAGGTTGTACAAAACATAAAATAGAACTAAATGTAGTAAATGTGATCAATAATGATTGCTAATTCATAAAACACTGAATTTAAACTACAAACAGATACATTGCTACAGCAGACAGCTTGGGCAAACAGGAAGAATGTCTCTAAACATTATTGAAGGGTTACCTGTACAAAATAAGACTTTATGCAACAAAAAACCACCTGAGAAGTTTGCTTACCTTTTTCAACTTTCAGCCATTTTAATTTTACATACGAGTATTTAGAGAAATTATTTACGGTACTATCAACTAGCATTTCCCTGTTGCTACGGCCCGTTTCCAATCCCTATGTACTCTAATATCTATGATGAGTAGCCATATTTTGACCACACCCACCAAAATCCAATCACGGACCCTGTGTCAGCCGGTTTGTACTGGTTTGAATGGATCACGTGACCTAGCTTCCAATCCTGGTTACGTAGTCTAAAATATCTATGCATAGCAATGATAGCATGCATGCATGCATGCAGCTAATATCTATGACGTAGCTTAACTATAATTACAGTACTTCCGGTCGTATGATTGCGCATGCGCAATGCTCAAACACGTGAAACCTTGTGAGTTAAAGAGAAGTCAAAAACCAAGTAACTACAATGGACACTACTACTGAACCTTGCTCGAAAGGAAGGAAAGTCTTTAACTATGATTCTGATGTTGATTCCGAGGACCCAGAACCTTTTATCAATTTATCTGTGATGGATCATCATCAGGAATATGCAAACCCGTTTGATTCCCTACCAAATGAGGTAATACAAGAGATATGCATGAT